TACATACATACATACACACATACATACATACATAGAAAGATATGTATATATGTAACGGGTATAGACTATAACTGAAACATACTATAACATACAGAGTCAGTACAACAATGTATATGTCCGAAATTTGAGATGTTTATTCGGCAATCACCAATTCAAGACTCAGGCTGGATAATACAAAAGCAGGCACTTAAAAAGAATAGTTACCTTATCTACAAGAATTGTTTACCATTTAGGTTTAAGGGATTAACAATATAAAAGGAGGTGTGAAAAGGATTGCCTACAGTGGGCGGAAGGGACACAGGATAATTTATGGGAAGGTTTATTAATTAAAACTAGACAAATCAAGACTATGCTAGAACAAAGAACATTACATAAAGAAGTTATAATAATTTAATTTAATAATAATAAGTAGACGTTCAGTCTATACTGACTACATATACATATATATATATACATATATATATATACATACATATACATACATACATACATATACATACATATATATACATACATACATATATATATATACATACATACATATATATATATACATGCATATATATATACACATGCATATATATATACACATACATATATATATATACACATACATATATATATACAGACACATATATATATACAGACACATATATATATACACACATATATACACATATATACACATATATATATATATAACATTTTCTTCTGTGATTATCTTCTACAGTTATTTTGCTTTGCTGGTTGTATTTAATGTGTAGCTGTGTATTTATTTCATATAGGTCTCATATTAACTTCATATTACTGTACATTTTATGGGGTATATGGTCTATTCACATGACAGATTACATGTAGCGGATACTCCTAAACCAAACATTTTAAACATCTCACTGCAGGTAAGCTTTTTATATTAATAGGCTTAAGATTACAAAATTGAATGTACGTATAAAATAGTAGGACGGTGGAGTTTTGGACTTTCCCTTTTTTCCGTTATATCTCCCACGTAGTCGTTTGGTAGATTTAACAACGAATCAAAATATAAAGTATACAGAATTGCATCCAATATACGAAAAGTTTATGACCCTTCCTTGTTATTTTTTTTCACCTGTATATTTCCCAAGTGATCGTTTGTTAGATGAAAGATCAAAATAGAATATAAATTATAAACATTGACCTATTATACGATGGAGACGTTTGGGATTGACGTGTTTGTCAATGCTTGACATAAAATGTTATGTCAAGCGTTAACAAAGGCTACAGATTCGCCCAATAAATTGTAGTGTTTCAAAAGTCAACATCTTAGGCCCCATAAAAAAATTATTAGTTTATCACCCTATCAAAGAATAAAAACTGATGAGGGAGGAAGGTTTTTTTATCTTTCTTTTTTTGCTAACCCCGCCCCCATTTTACCGATGATCACAAGTAAATCAATGGTTGGAGACACATATATAAAAAGTCATAAGAATGGAATCAAGTTTATATTTAAAAAATATGTTTTTGTTGTACGTCAGTAAGCATATTTGCAAGAAATCCTAAGCTTTTCAAGTGAAAAAAGATAGAAAAGGGACCGTTTGAAAAAAAAATATATGTTGATTGGAAAAAAAAAAGAAGAAAAAAAATCAGATTTTCCCCAAAAGTGATGAGGGAGCGCGTGATAAAATAATAGTTTCTTTTATGGGGCCTTACGTATTTCAGTTTCATTACTGTTACGCTATATTATATTCTATTATGTTTCGACACACACGTGGACATGCCTTCTCCAT